TAATTCTTGTTTCTGGTTAAAGGCAGGCATTAATGTAGATCAGATTAACATTATAAGGCTTGATTTTTTTTTTCCTTTACAGAAAAAAAAAATGTCTGCAGCTGTTTTTAGTCAACTGAAGTTATACAACTATGTTGTAAAAATAGGGGGTTTTGTTCATTACCAGAACCTATTCAGTTACTTTCAACAAAAGCCATAGTCTGGGTTGTCACATGTCTACCATATATTGATTTACCACCTGTTTTTCATCAGTCAGTGGTTATGTGGCTAAAAAGCTAAATTCACATTTTCCCTTTGTTAGCCCAACAAGCACCCACAATGATTTGGAGAAAAAAAAAAAAAAGGGAAGAAATTTTGCAACATTATACCTTAGTTCTCCAAGAACTTTCAATTTATTTTCCAACAGGTCAGGCAAAAATTTTATAATAATTCTGTTACATGTCTAATTAACTTTGTATTTTCATGAATTTAAAATTAAAATACAGTAATTATAAATAAAATGTATTGAATACTATTTTAACAATTAAAGATGTTGAAATGTTTAGAAAAATGCAAAACAATTAAACACTATTTTTAACATGATGTTTTTATAGTTTCTTAGCCCAATTTAAACGTTCTTAAAAGGTAAACATATTTTCCAGAGTGTCTACAATTTTAGTGATAAGTGTTTCTGAATGAAGGCCATTATAAAATATAACTTAACTCATTTTTTATTTGCATTGTGATCCCTGTTTAGGAAAATAAGTTAATAGCAATTGTGAACATATTACAATGAGACCATAGATTTTGTATCCTATGCATATTGAAAAAAATGTAAAAATTCAATGCATTAACCACAAAAATATGAAGATTTGACCAAGTTTTTTACAGCTACTAAATATATCTTTAATTTTTATTCGCAGGTATTCCTGTTGACGTAGTAGTCAACATTTTTATTAACAGTTTTGGATCCATTCAAGAGACAACAATGGTAAGATTACAATTAATATTTTTAATTTTCAAAATTTTAGCTAGAGGATAATGAGAACAACATCAAAACTGAAAAATGAGAAGTAAGTCTAAGGAAAAATCTGTGTTCTCTTTGAGTATGAAATATCCAAATTCTTATGTTTTGTTAAATCAGTGGTTTTGGTGCCTATATAATTTTGCGATTCAAATTTAGCCTTAATGTTCCATTAAAATTTATAGACATGGAAGAACTAATGTATTCCCCCTGAATAAATGTGATTGGATACCACCTGGGAAAAGAATTTATACAGTGAAGATTCAAGCAATATTTTTTTTTCTAATGTGCTTATAAGTATGAGGATTCAAAAATTAAGGAAAATATG